ATAGAAGAATTAGAATATAGAATATAAGAATTAGAATATAGAAGAATTAGAATATAGAAGAATTAGAATATAGAACAGAATATAGAATTAGAACACAGAATATAGAATTACAATAAAATAGAAGAATTAGAATATAGAAATAGAGTATAGAATTAGAATGGAATAAAATTAGAATAGAATAACAATAGAATAGAATAGAAAAGAAAAGGAAATTCTTTATTGGCCAAGTGTGGTTGGACATATAATGAATATGTCTCTGATGTATAAGCTCACAGTGTGCAAACAGTAATAGACCATAGGTCATAAATCATAGTTACAATCATTATTCAGAAGTTACAAACAACAACTGATACATCCTAAGAAACCAATAGGAGAAGATCATAGGAAAGATGAGAAATGAGACAGTGCCGGGGGAATGAGGTGTTTAGCAGAGTGATGGCACGTGGGGGAAACAGGCTATGTTTGTGTCTAGTTGTTTTGGGATGCAGTGCCCTATAGTGGCATCCTGAGAGAAGTTGAAACAGTTTATGTTCAGGATGTGAGGGGTCCGTCGATATTTTCTCAGCCCTCTTTCTGGTTCATGCAGTATACAGGTCCTCAATAAGAGGCAGGTTGGTTGCAGTTGTTTTGGCTGCAGTCCTAACTATTGAATTTGTTGGAGCACACGAATGACAGTGGTTGATGAGATTTTCCTGGATTTGCTTCCCTGCCCTCCTAACCAAGATCACCGGCCTGGGGGTGGGGGGGGATCCACTTGGCTGGTGTTGGTTGGGGTAGGAGGTGAGTTTTGACAGAAGCGTAGACTGGTAGGTTCAGCCCTTTCTCAAAACTCAACTCTGGTCTTACACAAGTGTTTGCTGTGGGTGCCTTCAAAAGAAACCTGTCAAAACTCATTGGAGTTTTACAGTGGTGGGAATTCAATCCTTTTACTACTGGTTCTGTGGGCGTGGCTTGGTGGGCGTGGTGTGGCTTGGTGGGCATGGCAGTGGAAGGATACTGCAAAATCCCCATTCCCTCCCCACCCCACTAGCCTGCTTTCCCGCTCTGTTCTCCTGTGCAGGGCAACCCAAGAAGACCCAGCCGATCAACTGGGACTCAATGGGAGGCAGAGAAGAGATGGGGGTGGGGCCATTCAGAAATGGTATTTGCTGGTTCTCTGAACTACTCAAAATTTCCACTACCACTACTGGTTCTCCAGAACTGGTTAGAACCGGCTGAATCCCACCTCTGGAGTCTTTGCATACAACCAACAAAGGATGGAGAATATCAGTTTCCCGCTCTAAAACAGCCACTCTTCATCAGCCTGGTGAGGATGGACATTCCCCAAAATGTCTGCCTTTGAGACAACAAAGGGAATTTGGGGGTGCCAATTTACACGCTAGCTTGAGAATCCCAGGAAGGGTTGCCCAATTTTGCCCCAATAAGTTGCTTTCAACAACATTTCCTGAGGCAGGCCAAAGGCTAAACTGCATGATTATTGCATCCTACTCAGAATTCATGACAACACTGGGGCAATTACAGGCAGTCCTTGACTGACAACGACTACAGAGCCCTTCACTTCTGTTGTGGAGAGAGACGTTTGTATTTCGCCCCGCTTTGCAACCTTTCTGGCCACCGTTGTTAAGTGAATCGCTCGCAGCTGTTCTGTTAACAACAGGATCATTAAGTGAATTGGGCTTCTCAGTTGACTTTGCTTGACAGGTGATCTCCAAAAAGGATCACTTAACCCCAGGATCCTGCAATGGTCATCAACACAAATCAATTGCATCAATATAAATACAATTGCATTTTGATGGAAGTGGCCATGAGGATGCTGCAATGATCGTTAAGTGTGAAAAACAGTCGTAAGTCACTTTTTTTGCAGTGCTGTTGTAACTTCGAACAGTCACTAAATTAGTGGTTGGAAGTTGGGGACTACCTGTGAATTTGTTAACTCATTAAGAAGTGATAGAGAAGAGGCAGTGACAAAAAGGGAAATTGGATAAGTTTGACTGGGTTTAATCAATAATAAATTGGGTTTATTGTCTGCTCCAGGAAGGTGCTCTCTCTCTCTCTCTCTCTCTCTCACTCCCACCTCCCCTCCCTTCCTCCCTCTCTCCCCCTCTCTTTCTCCCTCTTTCTTTCTCTCTCCTCTCCTTTTTTCCCCTCTCTCACCTTCCAGATGTTTCATTATCCAACTAGATAATATTATTGGTGTTAGCAGGAAGGAAGGGTGGGAGGGAGGCAATGTGGAAGAGGACAACAATAGCTAAGACAACAGTGACCACGAGGTCTTTGATGTTCTCTGAGCTTGGTGGTTTTCTTGCAACATTTCCTTACCCCTAATAAGTAACATCACTAGGGATAGAAGGGGAGGGAGGGAGGGAGGAGGAAGAGGAGGAGAAGGAGGATGACAACTAGGGTCTTTGGTGCTCCCTGAGCTTGGTGGTTTCCTTGCAGACATTTCATTACCCAACTAGGTAACATCAGTACAAGAGGCTGCTCTAGATACCTGCACAAAACCCCACTCCCTTCTAGTTGAGCAATTAAATGTCTGCAAGAAAACAACCACCTTTGTAGAGCACCAAGGACCC